TCCACTGCGGGATGCATTGATGCACTCGTGTTCATCTCCTCTAAGTGCGGGACCTCAGAAGTCGCCTCGGGACTCTCTCCAACATGCACTATAGTCGTCTCTCAAAGAACAAAGTCACTTTCTTCCAAGTCGACGACTACTGGCTTTTCTCCTCCTGCATCCACGCTCTCCTCTTACGAGGCATTAGACTACTGTCATCATGAAAGATATCATCGTCCTCATCAATCAGTGAAAGGCGTTGAGGAGCAGAAGCAGCGGACGGAACAAGGGTATGTTCTTGGACTGTAGTGGACGAAGAAGGGGTCAACACAGAAGCTGCAGCAATCACAATTGGAGGAGAAACCGAATGGGCATCAGCCTTCCTCCGAAAGGATGGCACTGGTGCCCGGCTCCTTTTAGAAGAGGTCCTGAGAAAGAAATAAACGTCAAAGTCAGAAAAATGAGTCGACATACAACAAAAATTGGAATGACCACGAGATAATAAGGAAAGTTACTTGTCGAAGAGAGAGTCGGTGTGAACTTCTTGATGAAGCTCGGCTAGTTGCGGATCCCTACAACGTGGGGGAGGATTTGCTCGAACCAATCAGAAATGCGCGTGACTAGAAGAGGAGGATGAGTGTTGGCTACAAAGATAGAAAAATTCCTTTAACTAACTCCAAGTAAATAAAAAAAAGGCGAACAAAAAAAACAAGCACTTACGTGTGTGATTCCAAGCCTCTGAAAAGCCATCAGCGTTAGCCACAACGTCCTCGGTCCTAACGTAGAAAAAATTGAGCCAGAATTGGCGACTGGCCTTATCGTCCATCTTCACCACCAAACACTTGCCTCCACGATGGCGAAGATTCAGCATCGCCCCCCTATAAAAGCTAGGGGCGAATATGTGAACCAAATATAGCAACGTCAGCTCGACCCTGGCCAGCTCGGCAAATTTGGTCAGCATCCTAATAATTTTGTAGACATACGGTGCGAGCTGAGCAAGACAGACGCCGTAGTGATGACATAATTCCTCCACCATCGGAAGGAGGGGGAACGAATAGCCAATGAGGAAAGGATAAGCATATAAAGCATAGTATACGGGGCGGTAAACTTGTACCACGTCCCTACCAACCGGATTAGTTCGACATGGTTTGGAAGGCCGAATTTGGCCTTGAGTTCCACCAATTCCTTAGGCGTCATCATTGATTAAAAGACTCCAGGCGTAGTGTCAGGTAATTTGGTAAGGTCGGACCTAGAGTCAGGATTGCGAGGGATTATTTCCTCTACTGATGGGAATACTTTGTCAACAACAATGGCATAAGAACCCTCCCCATGAGAGGGAAACACAACTACCAAAGGAGAGATACGACATCCCTCACCAGCATTTGATGGTAAGTCAAACATGGAGGAAAGTATTAAAGAAGAAAAATGAACGAGAAAGAATGGAGATGGAATAAGACAGCAGAGTGAAGAGGGAAGTTTAGAGAAGAAAATGGAAAGAAGGATAAAGCTTTGGAAAGTTAGGAGAAGCAACTTCAAACTCAAGTCCAAAACCTCAATTTTTAGAGATCATGGCACTAAACCCAAAAATGACTCATCATCATTGGCACCAGAATCGAAACGGAAGATCCAATCAAGAGCCACGCGTGAATCTAGGCGACACATCGAAACTATGGGTCATAATTGGCGCTTGACGCCATGGAGTCATTATATTCCTTGGACAGGATAACTCCAACAAATCGCTTGGGAAACAAGAGGTATTTGAATTTTGTGGCCCATAGAGGGCCACGTGTCATGCTCGGAACGATGATTACGAATCTTGTAGCTTACTTGATAATTTCGACCGAAAACGACAATTATCTGCTCAGTAAGTTCACCTGCGAGGACGACCTCAATAAGCGGAGGGACTAACTGTATAGGTCAAAAATTATCTCTAATATGATTAAGTCATGTTAGCATTAATGAGGCATTTACAGTGCCGTGGGTCACTAATGCAACTCTAGTAGAGACCTGCCCAAGGTCAAAGTGGTTCTAGAAACAATGAAGGTTGCGGTCGAAGAGTCAACAAGGATTAAAGTCAAGGAGTCGTCAAAGATCAAGGCCGAGGTCGAACATTATTGGCAGAGTTGTAACGGTTATTTTCAAGATAGGACACTAAAGAGAATATTCGAGTAAATATTCTCTGTACCTATACTATTAGGGTTTCTAGGAACATCTTCCCTATAAGTAGGAAGAGACACAATGATTGGGGATATGAGATATTTATTTGTAAAAAATACATTGACTTTATAGAGAGAATATGGTCTTATTACAAGCATACAAAAATAACATTTTTACTAAGATTTTTGTATGACATTTCCACCGGATCCAAGAACGATCTAAGTGTTCAAAGGCTTATCAATCATTCATCATTCTGAGAGAAAATATTCACAAATCTCACCCCTTTTCGGGTGATTCACATGTTTCTATTTACTTAAATGTCATTTATTGCTACTTGTTATTATTTAATGCCATATTCTATCTTTTTGGATCATTGAACACTGTCATTATTGCTTACGTTCATTGTCATCCGGACAAACATACTAATTATTTGTCATAAAACCGATAACTTTGTCTTTAGGATATTATTATTAGCTAAGATTGACTCTTCTTTATTTAAATCTAATTAGTTGAACCAAGATCTATAATTTTGGTCAAACAGAATTTATGCTAAAAATTTGCTTAGACAGTTGTTTCCCCCTAGAATTTTATGCTGATCATAGTGTTAGTGATCACATGCTCTCACTTATATATGCTGCTTAAAGTTAAATATTTTAAAAAGTGATAACTAAATAAAAAACTCTACGAACAACAGAAATGCTAGGGAAAATAGAATTATACAAAAGTCATGTTAACAATATGTCTAGTATGACGAAATATGAAAGATATTTTTCGAAAAATAAGTTGAGACACTTATGGAGGAAAATGATTTAGGCAAAAAAAAGTGAGAAAATTATTTTCTTTTTATTCTTTGTCCACTCACTTAAAAACTTCTATAAATAAGTTGTAAAAACATAAGTCTTATTTTAGAAATTATTTTTCGAAAACTATTTCTTTTTTTATCATACCAAACATGGCGGAGTCCGGAAACAAAATGTGGTTCTTTTGGACTCAAACTACACAAATATGTGTAAAAAAAAAGTTATCATACTATATATAACGCCAGAAAACCTGGCGCTATACATTAACGGTAACTGCACCATTAATGTATAGCGTCAGATTTTCTGGCGTTATACAAAAAAAATCTGACACAGCTGATATAGTGCCATAAAAAGTGGCGCTATATGTATGTCAACTCTCATTTGACAGGTTATTCCCACCTAGCCTCTTCCGTTTTCCTACTGGCTCTTCTTCTAGAGCTACGTACTCTTTCTTTTTTTTTTTGGTAATTATTAGAGATATTATCAATAATTACTACGCGTCATAACAAAAGTTAGTGCAATCTGGTGCACTATATATGAACTAACTACATATGCACTAGTCGTAGTTTGTCTTACAAAGGAATTCCTAATTGATCTGCTTAAACAACAATTAAAACAAGCTGGAATTTCACCGAAAAAACAGAAAAGAAATTTCATCACTACAACAAATGTGATTATTAACTATGAAAATATTAGCTACAATAGAAAATTCTTCACTAATTATCTATTTTCTGTGACAAAAATTATATTTCGTACTTAAATTCATGGGGCACATACTTTTAGTGACAAAACATAAATTTCGTAGCAAATTTTTTGTCTACTTAAGTTTCCCGCCAAAAAATAGATTGGCGCCAACTATTGATTAATATTAGCCACAAAATTAATATTATTGATGACAAATTAGTTTCGTCACTAATGTTGTAGGCAACTAATTATTCGTCTTAAAATAATTATATTTTGGCTACGAAATAGTTTCGCCACTAAACGTTTTATATTTTTTGCAACCTTAGTTTTGTCAGTAATAGCATAAACAAATTATCGATAATCATTGTATCATCTCTATTTAACCTATAAAATTATTAGGTACCATAAAAAGTTCATCTCTAATTATTGATTTTTTGGAAGAAAAATTAGAGTCGTACTTAAATGCACACGTCAAATACGTGTAATGACGAAACACAAATTTGTAGCGATAGTTTTATCTACTCGAGTTTTTCACCAAAAAGATGAATTGCCGCTAGTTATTTGGTAACATTAGTCACAATGTTTAAAGTTGTTGGTGACAAACTAGTTTAATCTCTAATATTGTAGACAACTAGTGAAATATATTATTTGTCTTAAATTTGTTATATTTTATTCGTTGACAAAGTTTGGTGACTAATTGTATTATCTATAATATATTAAAAGCAAAAAAGCCCTTAGCGAAACGTCATTTTTTTTTGTCCTTCAAAAATAAAGTTCACATTAGATAAAACAATCATTTAGTTATTGCTCTACTATTTATGAATATTCATTTAATAAGTTTTCTAATTATAAATATAATGTACTTATTACATACATATATCGCCACTTTTTATGGCACTATATCAGCTGTGTCAGATTTTTTTTGTATAATGCCAGAAAATCTGGCGCTATACATTAACGGTGCAGTTACCGTTAATGTATAGCGTCAGGTTTTCTGGCGTTATATATAGTATGGTAACTTTTTTTTTATACCTATTTGTGTAGTTTGAGTCCAAAAGAATCACATTTTGGTTCCGGACTCGAGATTGGAGTGCTGGCGAACATTCAAAATTCTTCACACGTGCTGTCAGTAAAACTCAAAATTACCATTTTCTTCCACTTCCTTTTTTCTAAATTTTCTTCTCAATTTCTAAAATTTCCTTTTTTAAGGCGCCTGCTCGTATTGTCTAAAAACTAAAAAGTAGTTGCGTCTGCAGTCAGAAAATTTAATACTGTACTTATCAAACTGGGCTTTGGAAGCTCAACCGCGCCTAATCTTTGTCAACTATGTATTGACAAATACACCCTTGCTATTTCGACAGAATAACAACAAATGCAGCGCTTCACACGCAAATTCCTCCATTCCACAATTCGCATCTATACTTTAACAGAACAATTCGCACATTCTTTCTATTCACTGAGTTGACTCGCCCGCCATGTCCGTGTCCGACCAGCAGCGAACTCAGAAGGACGATCCGTTCCTCCTCAATTACAATCCCGAAGAACTCCGAATCGCATCAGAGTTTCTGTCCAATTGGCTTCCCTTTCTCTCCCGTGACCTCTGCCACTCCTGCACCAACACCCTCTCCGATCGCATCCGATCCCTCAATTTTAGTACTTTCTCTTTCTCTTTCTCTATTTTTGTATTCTTTACATTAATATGTGTTAATGCATGTGTAATCAATTGATATAAACTCTGTAGCTCATGTACTAATTCTCACAATTTGCATTAAGTTCCCTGCTTTTTTGCGCTTGGACGAGTTTTTCCTCTAGAGACAGTGTCCTAATTCAAGTTTGCTTATTTATTTGGCTTTTGATTAAATTTATTAGTAAAGCTGTTGTTTTTTTGGGAGGTATTACTTAGTTTTGAAGATTGTTGTAGATAACATATGCAAAGTTAAAGTTTCTTTGGTAGATAACGATGGGCCAAACAAAATTGAATTCTGCTTTGTCTTGCTTATGTTTTTGGATATACTTTAATGATGAAGAAAGTTGTTGATTTAGTGAGTTTTTCTGATCAGAGATTTTGTTGGTATGATTGCAGAAGTTGGTGGTGATGCAGAATGCTTGAAGCAACCAAAGAATATCAGTGTTTTGACTCCGGAACGTTGTGACTCGGATGGATGCAATGGGAGTCAAGAGAATTGTGACAACAATTCACTTGGAAGTTGGAATGATTGTGGTGACTTGAATGATAATGCAGATACAAACTCATTGGGGAGTTGGAAAGACGGGGCTGGTGGGGGGGAGCCATTTGAGGAGCCTTCCGTGGACAGGCATTCATCTGACAGTTGTATAGATGGTGCGGATTCCGTTTCTCGGCCTGTTGGAGAGGCAACTACAAGTGAAGCATTCAGCTCATCCATACCTGTGACTACCCCGAAAATGAAGATGTCGTGGGCTGATATGGCTCAGGAGGATGAGCTTCAAGCAGAGCAAGTGAGTGAGTCAATTGCCTTGAGTAGTCAGGTGAATGGTGTGTCTGAAGAGGAAATTACTACTCCGGAGAGTAAGCCAAAAACAGAATTGTCAAGGGAACAACGAGAATACATTAGATTCTGCAATGTGAAGAGGAAAAAGGATTTCATATGTTTGGAGAGGGTGAATGGGAAATTCGTGAACATACTTGATGGATTGGAGCTACATAAGGGTGTCTTTAGCGCAGCTGAGCAAATTAGAATAGTTAAATATGTAGAGAAGCTTGATCAGATGGGGAAGAATGGTGAATTGAAAGGTATGTTTTATCCTTTATACAACTCTCTTAATCATTTTTTTTCTATTTTCAAATGAATGTTGTTTTCATATTGAGCTTGGCAAAGCATAGTGAGTCCAAGCCAGGATTAAGGAGTAGGGAGCTATAGCTACTAGCTAGACGGCCAACATACAATAATCTTATTATGTGAGGGATGCGATGATACCAGCACTTATCTGCTGGATCACATAAGAAGCCCGGAGTTATGTGTGCTTGGACAGCAGTGATACAAGGATTGGCATCCCTTGTGGGGCCAACTAGTATAAGACAAGCATAGTTGCTTGATTGATATCGTCTAGCTCTGTTGATGTTTGATCTTCAAATGTATTTGAGCAGGTGTTTCTGTGAACCAGAACACTCATATTTATCCACTTTGTTGTTGTTAGACTTGTTTTAACATTAGACAATTAGTAGAGTGTTCGATGATTGGTATTAGCTAGCGGATTCCCTTCTTTTTTCCAATTCATTGACCAGAGGGCTAAATAATTTGTATTTCTAGCATAGATACCAAGGTTATTTGTCAAATGCATATGTGTTTCTAACAATTTAGATCTGGAATAACGTTTTCAATGTTACCATTGTTGTTCATGCCTTTATCTTCATTTTGGCAGATGGTCATCCAGTTTGCATCCTATGCTATTTAGATGCTAATGTTTTTCAAGTAGGGTGATTGACATGGAGTTATTGCATTAGTTTAACTATAGGAAAAGTAAGAAACGAATTCGGCTTTGCTTGAGAGAGGATGAAGCTATTGCATCAGCTTGCACCTTTTCTACCTATCAGTATCTTTTACTATAAGACTTACTTACTACCTATTCGGGAGGATCTCAGATTCAACGTTAGTGGTTGTGTATCTTTCAAATACCTTATTAGTTATTTCTCCTTTTGTCTGTTATTGAGAGTTACAGTACGTGAAACATTTCATCATTGTATGTTAAAGCTAAGCTGGTCTGGCCGTCTGGGCATCCCAGACTTCCAAGTGTTGAAATGGGGAATCTTGTCTTAGTAAATTTATCCTATTTTAGTTTTTTCTTAGTGATAGCACATACTCTTCTATGTTAATTACCAGACATTAAAGAGATGAAAGAAGAGATGGACTGAGAAAAAGAACTGGTTAAAATTCAATGTATCAGATTAACTGTCAACAGGGAAATAGATTGTGATATCTTTTTAAGGTGGTAATATGCTGCATGAGAAATCTGTTTCGTCTTTTTTTTGGATTTGATGTAAATTAAAAAAATGGCTTGTGTTACTGTCAGATGTGTGTAGATTCATTATACATACCTGGATTAATTGCATAGGATTTCTAACAGATTATGTTTAATGGTGTGCCAAAATTAGAAATCCAGTAATTAGGAAATTTTCCTTGTTTAATGTGCCTATACTCATAAAAAAAGAGCCTGCTTCTACGTTGGTAATACCAATACATCTAGAGTTTTACCACCAATTTTTTCTTGATTCAGCTTAGAAATTTCTCCCTTGTTAACAAGGGTATCATAGAATATTGTGAGTATGGTATAGGAAAGAAGAATTTCAAAGTAAAGGTTGAGGCATAACTATGACTTTTCATTTGGAAAATTTGGAAGTAGTTGACAAGGTGCACATTTACTCCGTTGACTAACTTGTGCTTTTTTGTAAGAACGACATGCACCTCTTCTTTTCAAGATTTTCCTAAAGGTAGTTCCCACTCATTCTAATTCAGTAATTCTACTATAGTTCAATGTCCATCTCTCTTCCTCGTGGCTCGCTTCATCAATTAGTTTGATCTGGTTTAGTTTTTCCTTTATACTTGTGAAGAGTGTGAAGAGGAAGATGTTTTTTTTAGCTTCCTCCTTAAATTTCCATTTAAATTTGTTTGTTAAGTTCTTTCAGTCATTTTTAGTTATCTCATGGCTCTTACATGCCTGTGCTGATTGTTTAGAGAGGACTTATACTGCGCCACCAAAGTGGATGAGGGGCAAAGGACGTGTGACAATCCAATTTGGTTGTTGTTACAACTATGCACCAGTAAGTCTTCTACAATGTTATCTTAATCCCTCCCTCTTCACACAGAACCCCCCCCCCCTCCCCCTCCCCCTTCCCCTCCCCCTCCCACCTACACATACAGAGGCTCAGAACAGTAAATGGAGTACCTTAAACTATTGCCTATTAGGTGACAACATAGTAAAGACTTCTTTTCCCCTAATTCACAGCTTTCTTCTTTGATAGGGTTGTAGCATATGGGGTTAATCACTGAAAGGAAGTTGAATGTATGCATAGCATAATGACTGAATTTTCTTTATGGCAGGATAAGAGTGGGAATCCCCCAGGGATCCTCAAAAGTGAAACTGTTGATCCATTGCCTGATCTTTTGAAGGTCATGATTAGAAGGCTTGTAAAGTGGCATGTGATGCCTCCGACTTGTGTTCCAGACAGCTGTATTATCAACATTTATGAAGAGGGAGATTGCATACCACCGCATATTGACAATCATGATTTTGTGCGTCCCTTTTGTACCGTTTCATTCCTTAGCGAGTGCAACATTGTGTTTGGTTCCAACTTGAAAATAGTGGGTCCCGGTGAGTTTGCTGGTGCAATTGCAATACCGTTGCCAGTGGGGTAAGTGAGAGTGTGCTGTTCTTCTCATACTACTGAAATTAGGAGGATTGATCATAACTGACATTATATTACTCCAGATCTGTACTGGTCTTGAATGGAAATGGAGCTGATGTAGCTAAACACTGTGTGCCAGCTGTGCCTACTAAAAGGTACACACTGAATGTTCAGAGCTCTGGAGTCATAGTTAAATCTTCTGTGTCCTTGCACAATATGCTAACATCTTGTTAACCGGTACTTCATATAGGATTTCAATCACGTTTAGAAGAATGGACGAATCTAAAAGGCCAGTTGGATATGTTCCTGAGCAAGATTTACAAGGGCTGCAGCCCTTGTCATATGAAACAGACAGACAGAAGAAATCGAACTCCTCAAAACCAAGGTATTCTGCAAGAAAACAGTCAGCACTACGGGAAGAGAGCATGGAAAGAGTAAAGATGCCAATGAGAAGGCATTCAGAGCCCCGTTACACAGGTCGATATCGACAAGGACCTGCAAACAGACAGAGGTTTAGCGTGAATACAGAAAATTGAAGGTATATTCGGACTTGATTGTTTTGATCCATCGTCATCTGCTAAAATTAATGGCTCTGTTGGTGGAGGTCTCTTCTTATCTTCACCTCGAGCTGTTGAAGTATTAAAATTCTGAGAGGAATTTGCTTGATACTCCTTTGGATGAATATCTTCTAAAATAGAAGTTCAATCCTGCTCTCTGCATTGAAATCTTGTACTACAATAATTTCCGGAAACCAGGTATGAATGTGAATGAGGCACAATCAAGCTGAGAGTGGTGGTCATGTGATCTAGAGATGGGTGGATAATATATCTGATCTGATAATATATCCGATGTATGTGTGGTGTTCCAGTTTGCGGTGGTAATGGAGTGTATGTATATCACGAGGCAGCTATGCAAATAACTACTTGGCAGCTTGGATAAACCCTGCTGAAGATTGGACTCTGTCTACTTGAATAATGCACCTTGTGAAGAATTAAGTCCATCCATGTACACTTGATATTGGTGAAGCTTACATGGTATTCAATTCATATGTTGTAGGTAACAGTTATTTGCGCACAAGCATTTGTACTTGCTTACTACTGTAATGTTTTCTCCTAGTGCTTGTATCGTTAATCGGTTGAGCTTATACATTGAGAGCTAAGTTATCTTGTCTGACAGTCTTTGCTTTTCTACTTGTTGGCTCAAAATTTTTTTTGGAATATTTACGGTGCGAAGCAGAAAGAAGGCTAATGATAGGAACATGAGCGGAGGATCCGAACTCTTAACTTGCTCTATGACTATACATTTTCATCATTTGGTCTTACGCCAATTATACCATCTTATTAGGCTCAAAATCGAAAATATTAATTTTATCTTTGTAATTTAAATGCTAGTACAAAGAATATTAAAATAATTATAGTACTTGAAAGTATATAGTATTTGTTATAAATAGAATTTTATTTATGGTGAATGTCTGTATTTAGAGAGATTCTAGGGTTTATTATTTGGTGGCTAAGTCACCATCTCCGTATAAATGGAGGGTTCTATTCCATTGTAATTGATCCCAAATTCAATAAGAATTCTCTCCCTCTAATTTTCTCTGCAATACTTTTCTTCTTCTTTTATTGTTTTATAACACGTTATCAGCACGAGACTCTAACCAATTGAGTAGAAGCTTTGGGATTGAGCATAATGATTGTCAATTGTTCCATGAACTTCCTTCATGATTAAATTCTGGATTTAAGGTATGTATTTCACCGTATTTTTTTATAATTTGATTTTAAATACAAGCAAAGACAATAAACTTTGATTACAACTCTAATGGAGTTTGTAAGAAACTATAACCACCCGAAGTGGTAAAATTTCTATGTCTTGCCATGATCAAAAGTCATGTATGATCGTGAGCACAAAAATTGAAAACCCGCCCCATTGAATTTGCTCCATTCTTATTCCCTTAAGAGAATGTGATAGCAGTATGTGATAAGTCTGAAAGAAGACAAAATTATTACTATGAATGTATCAATGAATATGGACGTGGCAATAGACGAAATTATAATCGTCATTATTTATGGTAATGAGAACAATAAGGATTCTCAAAATAATCTTTCACTCTGTGAAAAATATTTGTCGATTTGACATGATATTTTATAAAGCACATATAGATGATTATGGTCCATTCATGATGTGGATGTGAAAACATCTCATTTATGAATACATATTCATTCTTGGAAGAATATGAATGTGCTAGTGGTAGTGAATATACCACACTCACCTCTAAAAGGAGGTTTGAGATGATATAAGAAAAAAATATCATTATTATGGCATGAATGACCATTGGTCACGTACATATTGTATGCCAAAATATTTTGGTAATGTGATTATTAAAGAATAACAGTAATGCAAGAAACAGATCTTGCATATAATTTTGACCATGACTATAACGGTATAACTTTCTCCTTGAAAGAGATATTCACCATATGGATGTTGATGAATATGTGGTAGTACCAAATTAATTGAGAGCTCTGGAAGAGTCAATTATACTATTTTGGAGAAAATTGATTATCAATAAGACGTTGTGTTGTAGTAAGTCTCAAAGAAACTTATTGAGTTTCTAAAGTATTCGCGAAAACGGTTGGTCATATTGAGACTATAAATAAAGAAAAGATTTAATATCTTCTATTACTACAACTTGTAGCGGGGTAATATGTATGTGAAAAGCTACCCGCTTTATTCTCCAGTTTGTACTACACAAACAAAAGAATGCCACAATAAAGAAAAGTTTATTGATATAAAAACCCATATCATAATAAACTTGGAGTTTATTCATAATTGCACACATCATGGTGTAAACCTGAAGTTTATCAATATTGATAATTTATCCAGTTGGCATAATTGGTTTAGCCATGTTAATTCAAGTATGATGTGCAAAAATAAAAGAGAATCTACATGGGTAAATATTAAAGAACTAGAAAGTTCTTTACGTATTCTCTTACATTGCTTGTTCTCATTAATTAATATACCAACTAAAATTGGGATTGAATCCCATGAATGCTGGAAATATCAAAGGTGAATATGGGCCCATTCACCTGCCATGTATACCACATAAGATGCATCTATGAGATGGTTACATGTGCAATTATTATTAACCCGCAACATGGTATTTTGCGAGGTAACTTGCTCAATAATTTAATTTCGAGCATAATTTCCAGATTTTTTATTCAAGAAGTTTATCTTGATAAGTTGGTTTACATCACAACTGGTTTAGCAAGATGATTTATTGAGTGCCTCCACTTAATAGCTAAACTATTGCTTATGAGAACAAAGTTATATATATCAGTTTGATATAGGTTATATACGAAAGTATATTACATTCTCCCCTCACAAGTGGTTTCAGGGTCAGGAACCAAATAATTCTATCTCATTATTATTGATGTGCGGTGTATATTTTGATTAACACCATAACACACAAAGATGAGTTCTCAAAGTTGAGAAAACAAGTTAGTTTTTCTAACATGAGGGGGAGACAAGATACAACAGTTGAGAAAAAGTTACATGGAATGAATTATCATTTATACATCTAGATCCCCGAATAAAATAATATGAACTTGAAGTTCATAAAAGGATAATTCATGTGCAATTTATTACGAAGCATGCCAGACGCATTTGCTGACCCAAAGAAAGTAACTATATTCTCATTGCAAATGCTCCTATTAGAATAAGTCCTAGAAGGACAAAGTCTATAGTACGCTTAAAGCATATAGACAAATCGGTTTCAAATAAACTTCTTGATAAAGAAGATGAGCAAATGATCAAAATGATCATAATAAAGGAGGCAAGTGATCTAGAAGATCATATGACATAACACTTCATAAAATCTCAAGAGAGATTCAGGTACCTGAAAATATGAATGAAGAGATCTCTATGTTATGTCTTTATGAAAAAATATTGAAACTGATATAAAATGTTTGTCGACGACATCTATGATAGCGCTAAATATATATATATATATATGAGGATCTTAAGTCTGAAGAAACAATTCGAATAGAATTGGTTTCATATGAAAGACATGTAGTTTTGAACATGTAGTTCTAACACTTGAAAGTATAAAGTCAATGGTATGTGCAATCAGTTTTCGATATCTTATATGTCTAGCATGACATGAAAACTTGATATGCATCTAAAGTCTAGTATATGGCTTATATGACTTAATTTATATGACAATCCATGAAGGATTTAAGTTGCTCGAAGCATATACAATTCTTGATCTTGAAGTACCACTTCCTCAGTGCAATTTGTGCACAAATGTATCTTGCTATAACTATATGCATGATAATATGATAGCAAGAGTTTTCACCTCTATGTGAAGATATTGAACTGACGATTACAACAAGATCATATGAAGACAATACATCTATTAGGGATGATGATTTCAAGGTGAAACAAATTCATTCAAGTTAATATGGCTGATTTGTTTATCAAATCTCTACCAAAGATCTTTTGAAGATGGTGCACAAGATTGGAATGCAAATGCTTAAGGATGTGAATTGATGCTCTCATCAGGGGGAGTTAATATGCGTTGTACTCTTTTTTCCTTATAAGGTTTTATCCCACTGGGTTTTCTTGCAAGGTTTTTAACGAGGCAACCAAAAGGCGTATTGTCAGATACGTGTACTCTTTTTCCTTTTCTTGAATTTTTTTTCCATTGGGTTTTATTTTAGTTAAGGTTTTAACGAGGCACATTATCTGTTGAATAGACATTCAAGGAGGAGTGTTATAAATAGAATTTTATTTATGGTGAATGTCTATATTTAGAGAGATTCTAGGGTTTATTACTTGGTGGCTAAGTCACCCTCTCCCTATAAATAGAGGGTTCTATTCCATTGTAATTGATCCCAAAATCAATAAGAATTCTCTCCCTCTACTTTTCTCTGCAATACTTTTCTTCTTCTTTTATTATTTTATAACAGTATTCAGTATTTAAGATGTTATTTAAATACAACAGTGTGGCATATTGGACTAGAGAGAGAGTATAATGATGAGTCCATTTACCGGTTGACTAGCAATTATGATTAAAATATATTAGGAGAGATCACATTCAAGATCTTATATATGAGTAGTTAAAGGCTATAAAATGTGTTTTTTAAATGTAATTCAATGGTAGAAGTTGATGATTTCTATTCATGAATATGAAAGGAATTTATACAGTTACAAGAAATCTAAGGAAAGAAATCAAAACAAATGAAAGAGAATATTACAGGCTAAATGTATCTGGACTGATATGGTAAATGTATCTGGACTATATTTATAAATAATATTCTACAACACTCCCCCCTCAAGTTGGAGCATAGATGTTGATCATGCCCAACTTGTTCCAAAGATAATTAACTCGAGTTCCATTCAGCGCCTTTGTGAACAAATCAGCTAGTTGCTCTCCCGTCTTCACATAACTGGTAGAAATCAAGTTCTCCTGAATCTTCTCACGAATAAAGTGATAATCAACCTCGATATGTTTAGTTCTTTCATGATATACTAGATTCGAGGCGATATGCAGAGCAGCTTGATTATCACACCAGAGTTTTGCTGGTATAGGGTGCTTCAACCCAATTTCTGTCAGAAGGTGATGTATCCACATAATCTCACTCGTGGCCTATGCCATAGCTCTATACTCAGATTCTGCACTTGACCGAGATACAACATTTTGTTTCTTGCTTCTCCATGATATCAAATTTCCACCAACAAAGACACAATAACCGGTAGTATACCTTCTATCGGTTTTGGATCCAGCCTAATCAACATCTGCAAAACACTCGATCTGAGCATGTCCGTGGTTGCTATATAATATGCCAAGTCCAGGAGCTCCTTTTAAGTAGCATAAGATCTGTTCTAAAGCTGCCCAATGATTGACTGTAGGTGCAGCCATGAATTGGCTAACAACACTCACTGCAAAGGCAATATCTGGACGAGTTACAGTAAGATAGTTTAGTTTCTCAACTAACCTCCTCTATCTTTCTGGATCATCAAAGGGATCACCGTCATCTTTTGTAAGATGCACATTGGGAACCATTGGAGTACTACAAGGCTTGGCCGCCAACTTTCCAGTTTCCGCAAGTAAGTCAAGGATATACTTTCTCTGAGACATAAAAATTCCTTTCTTGATTCTAGTTGCTTCTACTCCCAAGAAGTATTTCAGCTG